TACGTATCTGCTTAGATCATCAATCAAAAAAATGTTCGTGCACAACCGATAAATACTGAAAACGTGGGTGGTATATATTTGTGATGATCCGAAATATATTTTGAAAACATGTATCGTCGCAATTAGGAGATCGCTTTTTAGGTGGACATCCCATATAATGTATAGATGGAAAAAAACGAAATAACAATTTATCTTTCCCCTAATGTGTTAGTGGCTGATTACAGGAGATATCTAAAAACGGTGCTTCTGATAAAGCTGTCGTGACATCATTCTGAAAATTGCTATTTGTAGCTTCTGAATCAAACAGTCTTTAATAAGAATAAAAATCTTGGACCACAATATTTCAGTAGATCATTCATTTTTCTAATTACTCTGTGTAATAGAAAATTTTCATTATTATTAAACACGTTATATACTATGGGGGTCACTGTGAGCAGTACCATAAATTAACCCTCGGAGGGCGGAGGGCAATAGAGAAATATTATTAATAACGTAAGACAGTAAATTGAAAGCTTCAATTTGTAAACTAATTACTTTTATCCTTAGCAATTATCCATTGAGGATTTTTGGTATCAATTAGTTGATTATTGAGAAATTTGAAGCACTGGTGGCTCCTCATGAAAGCAAATGTGTTAAGGGGAGGAACCATCGATTTTGTTCAATAACCGTATCTAACTGGATGGTAAGCTAACAGAAATTGAGGAAGACGCGTTATGAGTAGATCGATAACGATAATGGAGCCCGTATCGTGGTGTCCTCCGTCTAATTACGGATTGCCCTGTCTCTAGATAGACGCACATATATTCAACCGAATCGTTATCACGTGTCTCTGCACGATTTTCGGAGGTTTCCTAATCGTTCGACCATGTCTCGCGATAATTGCGTCAGCTTCACCTCTGACAGCTTTGATCGACAGCCGGTCTAAGGGAAATTAATTCTTGATGCCTTTAATAAACGATAGACACGCCTGTCAGATGAAACGTTCCCCCTTTTCCAAACCGATTTCTAAATCCTTGACACTCGCACTCGTTCAAATTTTCATTGAAAAACATTCTATACGATTTCTATAGAAAAGAAATTTCCCATGGTAAAATTAAAAACGAAGAAATTTATGAGCTTAGAATACCGTTAAGAATAAAGCAACTTTCGATCACTTGTTTCGTACAATACGCAAACAATATCAGTTTCCATTGCTTCTCTTATAAATCTCTTTTCTCTGCGGCAAAACATCGTCCTTCTTTTATCCAACCCCATAAGTCACGATCTACTGAACGAAGAATCATGGGGTGCTCCTTCATCGATCTACGCGAAAGGACTCATCTGTGGATCTCCCCCGTTTGATTCGTTGCAGAGAGAAAAAAAAAAGAGAAACTTTCTTCGTCTTGGAGAGACACCCTCGTCGCGAGTCCTGTCGAACGGAGATTAAGGATGGCAGCGAACGGTAAACAGAATGACGTACAAAGAGAATGAAATACGGGGTCTCGCCCACGCGTATAGACCTCGTTTTCATAGGGGAGATGTCCTTCGTCTAAGATCGTTCTGACGTTTGTCATTCTGTATCGATGCAGCCGACGCGATTTTTTTGCGTAGCTCGAGAAAAGAAAAAATTCAATATCTCCTTTTCTTCATACGAATTCTCTAATGTTAGATTCCTACGGGATCCTTTATTAGAATAAGGTTTCGCTCGATTCACGGGACGAATCGATTTTACGACACAATGTGTGCCGAATATCAACAAGTCTGATGCGAAAATATTGTTTCACCGAGAGTGTCAGTTCGAGGTTGAGATTTAACCGAGTGGATATTTTTTTTCAATTATCACGTTCGCTAGTCGAAGGAAATTTAGCGAACGCTGGGTGAAAATTCGATGCGAACGATGGATAATTAAATTTCAATAAGGAAACCTTGACATTTGCGCGGGGGAGATGATATTTGAAAGATGAAGGCGGGAATGAGAATGAATTGACGTAACGAGTGACGAGCATTTTTCCAATTGATGTAAATAAGGCTGATTCACGATGACACGAATCGATTCCTCTGATTTTCTGATGCTTTTCCTTTCTACCGACCTTAACATGGTAATGAAGATTGATGTCGATGATGGATCGCTGGTGGCGATGGTAGAAACAGGGAAATATCGAGCTTCTTGAATAAAATGAAACCTTGTGAATCAAATTTAATCCCAGCTACGCTCATCTTGATATAATTACTTTAATTTCTTCAAGAAATTCAAAAATTCTTGACTACTCGCACTCGCAATTTTGATAATGAAGTAATTATTGATTTCAATTTGGAAATTAGTAATTAATGTAATCTCTAATAATAATCTTATCAGTATGTTTAATTTAGATATGAAAATGTCATATAAAATTATGCAGATCGTGGATTCCATAAAGGTCATTAATCAGAGAGTATACATTTTTTTTTTTTTTCAAAAGTTCCAGTTTAACAAAATCAAAAATTCATTTCTTTCAGTTTTAGTTTACATATATCAATAAATTGGACAGTAATACCGGTCCATTTATCTCCCAAGAGAGTATCAATTAAAAAGAGCACAAAGTCGACGAAAAAGTTCAGCGAAACAGACGATTGACATTTTCAACATGTCCAGTGAAGAAGAGAGACAGCTTTACGATTTTATTGATTGCTCGTCGGATGACAATACATTTCCATACTTCGAAAACGAACTTTTTTATTGGCGGCAAAGCGTGGGCAGCTGAATAATTTCGTGCCTGCAGCATCGTATTTCTTGCCGGAACGCGTTACGTGTGCCACTTGTTCCATTAGGCCGTCGTTCTCCAAAGGAACATCAAGGGATTTGGCTCGGCTCCAAATCATTTCGGCCATCTGCTAGCGAGATCCCTTTCCACAAACAGGAATCTATAATTTTTCATTTTGACTACGGATTACCGATCAACTCCTTGCATTCAGAAGAGAAAAGCTTTAGTTGATCACTTTTAAATGATATATATTCGTCCTTCACATCACGATCACAATCAAATTACTTCTTTCAATTTTTCAATCTTCTGTCACAGTACTTTCTATCATTTCAGATCAACGATACACATGTGTCCGTAGATGATTTCGTTCTGCATCGGGAACAGGTGCAACGGGAAGTCATTAAACGAAATGTCCCCTCCCTAGGCGATGACACGATTTGTACTACAATCAAGGGAACAACCTTGACCCCGGATTATCGAGCTTTTTGCAAATGTTTCCTTGTTGGATCGAAACGTCCTTAGCGCACGGCTCGCTATCGTCCCGCCGAGTTACGTTATCGGTAATAACGAAACGCAAATGAGGGAAACATAGGTCCTTGCATAAATGTGATTAACTCTGCAACTCTGACGGGAATATAGTTCATGGTCATGGCGAACACCGTTGCTCGTTAGCATCGTAACGTTCTAATACCAGGCAATCGGATTTCGATTCATTCGCGACGAACCGATCGAAGGATCCTCAGCTTTGGACGAAGGAAACAACGATACACAGAGTAGAGAGGTTAATTAATATTTAAACGATAAATTTCAAGAAATTAACAATTTTTCACGGTTCGTTGTAAATCAGAGATTAATATGTACAGGACAGAGTAATTTATTTAAACAGTGGGGGATATAATTAATGGACGAAATGATAAACCGTGGACATTCATCAAGGGATTAACGAAGGTTGATTTCACCGTGAACGATGAAATATGACGATTTTAACTTTGCCTGGGATTTCGTAGGATCTCGTTTTAATGGAGTGTGTTCGTAACGGTGAGACTAGCTGAAAGGGGGGAAAATCGAAGCGTATCGAGTGGTTCGATGACGACGAAAGTGGATTTGAGAATACTTTTGCGAACAGGGGTGGAGAGACGGGTCTTCCAAGCGGATGGCGTTGATTATTGCGTGGAACATGTGGTGCACGATTGATCAAGCACTTTCAGGCTTTGATGTCTATACAGGGAATTGCGAACGGATATCCGCGAACCAATTAACGATATTAATATTTAAATTGCTATCATTGCAAGGATGTAACGTCGAATACCGCTAATGCAATTTGCGACACGATACAATTTGAAGGTGTTGTAAATTTTATGTTACTACAAGTTCGTTAGTGTACCCAGTTTGGTAATCGAATTACTATCACTAAATTCAGCGATAAGGAAAGCTAAGATAGTTCTGGCGAAACGTAACTAGCACTAATTGCGAATTTAATTGTCCGTAGAGGATTTATGATCGCGAATGATCGTAGAGCACGCGGAGGGTGACTTCCTTCGTGTTAGAAGTGGCTTCGGTCGATGCTAAACGCTATAATTGTCTTACTATAGAGCAGAGGGATAATCCCGTATCTCTGTCAGACAGCCATTGAGCCTTGGGTTTAATTGGAAACAAGACAAAGAAGTTTGTTTTAATGAATCTTCAGGAATAATGGGGAATTATGCGATTGTGATAAACGCCTATTGATTTAATCTTTGAGCAGATATCTTTCATCCCCTTTTGAAGAAGAAATTTAACATTCGTTTTACAGTAGACTCTTGTTATGTTGCCATATGACCGATTCGATGTTCATACGAATTTTTAAGCATTTTAGAGCTACTTTTCCATCAGATACACTTCTATGTTCTTTTCCTTCTCAATTGAGAATTTGCACCTCCCACAACCCCCTTCTAAGGCGATATAACGAGAGTGTACTGAAACGGCTTTGACGTGGCGATCTCGAAAACTGGGTCGCTTTCGCTTTGAATAGAATTGACCGATTACAGGGACAGATCGAAGCAGGTGTCGAGTGTCAAAATCTGTCGTTGAATACCGCCAATACCGGCATGTGTTTACGACAAGATTGAATCGATAAACGCAAGACCGACAGGAAGTGGTAATCCTAACTACTTTCCTGACGCGTCAGTTATCGGTTCCTCGATATCGATTCAACGGTTTATAAGCAAGAAAATACGGGATGTTTCTCTTTAAATTAATCTTCGTCGTGCTAAAGTGAAAACATTAGTCAAAATTACATACCCTCTGATTAAAGAATACAGTCAATTGTTCCACGTCTTGTCAGCCTTTCTGAAACAGAAAAGGAAAGGAGAATGTTAAATTGTGCCTAACGTTAAACGTTCGAAACTTAATATATTAAAAGGATGCAAACAAGGGTAGGTGGAAAGAGATCTCTTGCACGGAGGGCAGACTTTAATTAAACTACCATGTAACGAGTCGCCCTCGAAGCACCCTCTTCCCAAATTCCGTTCTCTTCATCATTTGCACGTAACTGTTGCAAAAAATTTTAATCCCATTACCCGTAATTTTATCCACGGTACATCAACACGTTTCCATTATGAAAATTACACATAACCGATGGTATCAATCGAATCGATTATTTCACGCGAATTGTTCATCGTTCGATTAGTTGAAAGCTCAAAATACATCGGGAAACAATTATCATTTATAAAAACGCGAAGAAATTGAAAAATTGACATAATATAGTACTAATTTGTGCTAAAAAGTATGATAATAAATAAATAAAGGATCGAGTTAGAAAATTAATTCTAAATATCCTTAACGATCCATCTTATCGTATGTCTGACCATGCATGGACTTTTCTACTGCTCGGGTCAACGTACCAGCGACTGACTTCCATGAATAATTAAATAAAAGATCACGGAAATGAAGAGAATAATGAAAATTACGTATGCAATTAACTCTTCTCTTTATCATATCCCAATTAGAATCTCCAACGTTAAATCGCGAAACATTCCGAATTCCCTAATCATCTGATTCATTAGAAATACTATTCATCCTCGCGTAGTGATACGTTTCACGCGTTGCCAAAACAAAGCCTATCAATACGGGAAATGAGAAACGCGTGAATAAAAATTTGCTTGGAAAGGGAAAGCGTGTCGTCGTCTCGTTGAAAATTCGCCTACGCACTTCGTGCACGCATGATTTAACCCTGACACGGATGGCAAACGGAAAACGTACGCGAAATTCATGACATCGAGGAGGAATATTCGGCTCTGCGAGTGCCTCGCCTGTTTCGATACTTGTTTTAATTGACCTCGATATACGCGAGTTCAAACAGTATACCTGTTACACGCTAAAACTGGAGCGTTTATTTTCGCGGTCGATCGTACGTACGCGTGTACACGTTTTCTTTCTCGTTGACGCTTTGCAATCGACTTTTTTTTGTTTAACTCCTTTCATGCTTCTGGATTATTGAAACGTCAATCAGCGATCGTTTGTTTGTTGAATCTCCTGTCTTTCGAGGTAAAAAATTATTTCATTATTTGATTACTCGCCGTTCGCGTCTGATCGTGAGTATATAAAACAGACAATCGAGACCGGTATTTGAAAAATTTGATGAAAACTTCAATGTTATTTTCTGACAAATTTACTTGGCTTACGTTGAAAGTTCTACTTGACGTTTCGCATTCTTCGTTCAACTTTCGATAGTTTCATAAAGCTCGATGTAAGCAAGAAATAAGAGACTCTTGACTGAAGAAACAGGGTAAACTGCTTCGCTTGAAAATGCTGATTTTCAGAGTTTCTTTATTAGATCTACGTGTGAAACAGCTGGTACCCATTGTTTCTTTCCTAATGCAATTTTTCATCGTTATAATAAATTAAAAAAAATGTTTCCAATGTAATTGGATTTAATTCATCGCCGATAAAGCAAAAAGGGATTAATTACCGGTAATGTATTTTCATTATACTCGACGTAATATAATATCGTATTAATGAAAACTTCCCTTACGCAATAATAAGGCTGAAACAAGGCTCGTTTGGCTTCCAATTTACGCAGCTAGGATTTGCAATTTACGCAATATTACTGCGATATGGTCGCAGTTATTGGCGGTAAACGCGTAGCATTCAACGCCTCGAGCTACTTCCCGACCCAGGAACGTTGGCAAACCTTCCGGTGCTGCTCGAGAGTATCCGGTGGAGTTCGCTAAACTAGCTATAAACTCCATTACATTAACAGGGGAAATATCAATTTTCTACTTTTCGTATAAAAGGAACGGTGTAAAATTTGAAATGGAATTGAATTAAAATTGGGGCTCTCTTCATGGTCCGCCGTCCGAGGGTTAACTAATATTTCTAATCGATTAAGACATAAAATTAAATGTCACGCTTCCATTCGCATAATTCAACGACCTTCGTCTCGTCGCTTGGCCGTCAAGATAATTTCACGAGACTCTCGATGGTTGAATAAAAAATCGTTCAATAAAACTGTTAAGCCGCTTTTCGTGCGACCAACTAAATTGCCCGCCCCTAAATAGGCCGAAGCATTAAAAGTTTCAATAGGAGAAGCTTTCCCTTGCGAAGCCTGCGAATCTGGGTCAAGGTTGACGAACCCTATGAGCTTTTGGACGAAGGAGACAACCTTTGATAAAGATTCAGCTGAGCATTCTTTCCTCTTATTATAGGAAACAATGTTTGCTTGCATTCTGTTAATAATTTTCATTTTCTTTCATTACAGTCATAGCAGAAACATTCTTAATTAGTCAAACAGTATAAAATTAAAAAATTAAAATAATATGAAACACGAAGTTAAATTAAAATTGAGACTCTTAATAAGCCAATTATCCACCAAATCAGTTCAATCAATTTACGTGACAGAAATCGATTTAATCACTGAAAATAACCCAGAAAATCCGGAATAATGTTTTCCACGACGTTGTAATTGCAGCAAGCTCGATCAAGAAATAATTCCTTTAATACTCGACGCTCGTTCTCGTTCTTTTCCACCGAGTAAAAAGTCCCGATTCTTTTTCTCGGACAGAGGAATCCAAGCGTAGAGGATCGTAAATCAAATTGTAAGGGCTCGTAGCCCTTTAAAGGGCTCTCGAGCTTTCTTCGAACTCGCAGACGAAAGCGTTTCCAGAGAGTCGAGGTAAAAATCTATTTAGCTTCGTTGCAGTCGAGAAAGTAGAGAAATGACTGGTTCTAGCGACGAAGAAGAAGCAAGAACGATCTTCTTTCTACCGAACGAACAGAGTGACTGACTGGTGAAATAACATTTGTATTATCGATCGTGAATCGTCGCGAAAACTCGAAGGTTTTCCAGTTCGAATTTACAGAAAATCGAATCGGTGTCGGGGTTACGTTTCGAAACAACGATTCGTTGGATCTCGTCCCGTTGCATTACTAGCATTCATTCATTTGGCAAGCTCGCCGATATTTATTATAAACTAGGACGATTTTCTTAATCCCGTCTGTATCTATCATTTCTTTTTCCCCAAATCGAATTTTTCCTGAAAGATCGAACGAGGCAAGGTAACTCAAGAAACTTATGTAAAATTCTTAGTAGTCGTTTACGATCTCGGAGAACCTTGGAGAAGTTTGTTAAGAAGAAACGCAAGTTTCCTCGACGTCAAAGTTGGAATATAAAAGTTAAGTAAACAGCCGCTAGTTTAGAAGCTTTCATATTAATTATCGTTAAAAAACTTTTTCGTATTTAATCGATCATTACTGTTTGGTAGCTATGTAACAAATTTCTCATTCCGATAACTTTGTTCATTTTCGAGTGGTATTTGGAAAATCATCTTCGACGAGGAGCATGTATAAATTTCATCGCATATTCGACGAATCTCTGGCCACATTGAGAGCGCCTCTCGATTCTCTATTATTTCAGGATATTTAGCCGCGTGTTCGGTCGATGACTGCATCAAGGTAACCGAAGCGTTACGCATTAATTCGCATCCATACCAACAGCGAAACCGTCTCTATACCGTTGCTTCAATTAAACGCGAATTATTATCGCTCGAGTTTCAATTAATCCGGCAAGGATCCCCTTGAACGCCCACGCAGGTCGACGAGCTCTACGCCAGGTCGACGATACCTGGGGCTGCTTCGTCCTGGCTTTGTAGGAATACAGGTCACAGCTATTCGGGTCAACGGGATACGTCCTTCGCTCCTCTATTCCCTTTATGCACTACCATGGTGTACCATGGTTATTTCTGTACACGAGGCTGCAACTGCACAGCCGTTGTACACGCCCAGCCGCTCACGGCAGCTTCTATTTCGTCGATGATACACTTTGCTTGCCGGTTTCTTCTCTCGATGCTACCGATTTTATTTTTAAAAGCGCACAGACGTCACACGATCGCGTCTTCGCTCGATGATCGTCTTCCTAACGAACCACCCGTCTGCCTTTCGAGACCCGACCTCGATAACCCCATACCATAGTATTTATCCATCTTCGTCAAGGGTTTCCAAGAAATTTTTAACGATTCTTTGAGTGGAAGGATGGTACGAGTTGGAAGGGTTAAATAAAAATTTTGAAAGGGTTGATTTCTGTGGATGGAAGGGATATAGGAATGATAGGGGTAACCGTATGTGTGGAGAAATTTCGGGTAACTCCATATTCTCAGGGAAGGGGTGGTTTTTATGATTTAAAATAATTCTATTCTAAAGCTGTCGTAGCAATAACCTCTCTAAAATATGAATCTAAGAAGAAGCTCATAATCGAACAGTTTATTTTCTTACTTCGACGAAATAACATACGCCAACAAGGTCTGCCAATTTCTTTTAAACCGTTCTAAATCTACCGGTATCATTTCGATCTATCAAAACCGCAAACGACAACGTCGCGTTTATTTCATTCAGTCTTGCCGGGTACACGTTCCTCGAATCCAGTACAGAGTTTCAATGTGCGTCATCTCCATTTTTACGCGATTCCGCGCCGGCGAATACCGTCCGACAATTTACGGTTTGTTTACGATCAACGAGCCGAACGATGAGAGCATAAGCGACCGTTAATGCGAATCGACCAAATGACACCGGGGGAACTCGTGCGGTTCAGAAAATTCGTTGGCAACGAGTTGAAGCAACGCCAATGGATACAATAACGAGGGCTGGATAAGAATATTTCTTGGCTGGTGAAAGGGATCGAGGAATTACGAAAACGTAACACGAATGAAAGTTAAGGGTGCGTCGAGAATCGCGACCAATCTTCGCCTCTAATTACATCATTTCCGGCTCGTTTGCTATCCAACAGACGATCCTTTTTTCCTCTTTCGTATCTGATTTTTTCCGGTAAAATTTTATTTTATTTAAATACTCTTTGA